ATTATTATTATTATTATTATTATTATTATTATTATTATTATTATTATTATTATTATTATTACTAGAAACCTGCATGCAGTTGTTAACACGTACATTATTAAGGCTCTTATTTATTAGCACAATTAATTATTAATGCTGCTACTAATTTATTTATATGTTTATATTTATTTATTTATTTACCCGTTTACAGTAACAGTACATATTTTTGGTGTTAAATTACATATCAACATTGTGTAGACATGAGTATTCAGAGGAATATTTAAGACGGCCTGGTGGAGAACAAGACGTTAAAACCACACTACTCATCGACTCGCCGCAGGGACGAAGAAGGAAAACTTATGACCAAAATATTGCACATAACTTTTTCCACCATAAATCCCTGCTGCAGGTGAAAAATTAATTAATTATGTTTCATTCATCTTATATATATGTACATGTATGATCGATGTATATAGTAAAATATTTCCTTTTACAATCTAGTTATAGAAAAATGGGCTTAATTAATTTTAATATATATATATATATATAACAATTAATTAAACAACTAGCGTTGTGCATGCATGTTAATTTGGAGCAATAACAAGTGTTTTTAAATTACTCCTAATTTAGGACTTTCATATAAATTTTATTTGGTTATATATTTGAATACATTTGAAGGGGCTGGTGCAGACGGAGGACAAAACCGGAATTAGCACAAGCAGTAGTACTGGAAGTAAAGAAGAAAACGAAGGTGAAAATAATAAGGCAAATATTTCAATAAACTGGTGGAGGAGTTTGGACAATATTCACAAGACATCTGCAGGATCATCAAGCAGCTGTTCTTCTATAAATTTGGACCTAACTATGTCCTGATTATAATTAATTAATTAATTAGTATTTCTAATAGTTACTACTATATATGCATTCCTTTTTTTTTTCTTTTTTTATGTGTGTAATTTAACAAGTCAGTATTGAATAGATATTTTCATATTTAATAATAATTTGCTACTACTATATATATTTAAAATTAAATTAATCATAAGGAGTGAGTATGTGTACATATTTGAGATTTTGGGAAATGCTACGGTCCCGTTACGATACCAACTCATCGAGTATTTTAACTGTTAGATCTACATAGTATCGTAACGGGGCCGTAACATTCATTTCCTTATATTACATCTTCAAAATTGAGATCATTAAGTGCCCGACTAAGCGGGCCCGATCGACGGGGGTTTTGTTTGATTGATACAACGTATTATTGATCCACCAGGTATCAGGCCAGCCCAACTATATATTAATGCACGTATGAAATTTTGACATATCCATAGCTTAAATCATCAACGATACTAATTTTATTTTCTTTTGGTTAAACAATTTTATTTTTTTTTTTAAATTGTAAATTGATGTATAAAAAAAAGTATTTTGCTAATAATCTTAGTTGTCCATCATTATTAATTAATATTTTTATTATATATTAATTCAGATTTTTTAAAAAATTGTTTTTGTATAAAAAAAAATCTATTTTTTTTTCCATCTTTATATGTGGAAGGGCACAATATTGTGGGAAAAAAAATATTATATCCAAATGGATATCAGGTGGACCACCATTTTTGTTTTATAATTTATTTAGTAATGCTACAATCTTGTCTCCAATAACTGATTACTTTTTTCCAACTTTGTTTTTCCAACGATAGAAATCTCCAATAAAATATACGAGAACGTCAATCCGAATACAACCCAAAAGAAACAAACACTGGGAGGCACACTTCAACAATAGTCTAAAAACAAACACTCACAACACGGCTAAAGCAGGGACTAATACCCCGGATCCTTTACCCTGTTTAGACCACCAAGAAACCAAAAAGCAACAAAAACATCCCCTTACACTATATTAACAGCAAAACCGGCCACAAACCAAAATACACCAAATAGCCCGCAACACTAACCTAACAAAGAGAAAAGAAAACAGCCCGCAACACAATGAAAATATACACAGAAGAAAAACAGCCCGAAACACTACTAACAACAAAAGTCAGACAACCCAACACAAACAGAACCTCCTGTTCAAATTCCTGCCACTCAACCCATGCTCGCTTGGCCACCACCTGTTCAGGAATCCACACTTTTTCGAACAACCATAAATTCCTCGACCTCCATAGCCACCACAGCAGGTAAAATGGATAGTTGAATTCGGGCCTCGGAGATCTCTGTTTGGGCAATTGTGCACAACAGCCACCACCACTGCTTGAAGGTTGAGTCATTCATGTGTTCTTCGTCCCAATCTAACTGAGAGTGCTTCACACCAATTTAGCTCGTCTACATCTGAAAAATAAATGCTCCATCGTCTCTCCACCTCACCGCACATCGAACAAATGACATCGACTTGCACTCCTTTCTTCTCAAGCTTACAACTGACTGGTAGGATGCCTGAATAGCTCCTCCATACGAAATGTTTCAATTTTTCTTTGACTCGTAATCTCCAGCTCCTTTGTCTAGCCTTTTTGTCCAAACCAGCTGATCGACTGCTTCCCGCCATATCGAGTTTATTCGTTGTATCATCCATAAGATGGGAATAAGAGCCAGCCACGGAGAAGTTACCCTTTTCATCGAAAAGCCACTTCCACCTGTCAGGCGACCCGGCCTGGATAGACTTAATGGCTAGAATTGCATTACTATCTCTGTCGTTGAACTTTCACTTAATAATCAGCTCCTCATTCCATCCCGGTCCCTACAAATTCATCAACTTAATCGGACAAATATGGAACATTTTTAAATAACAATTTGTTTAAATTTGAAAAATATATTATCAACATATATATGTGCGAATCTGTAAAAAAGATTTGGCCAACATGCAATTCGGCTATCTTAAAGTATATAGGTTAAATTGTACCAAAAAAAAGTATATAGGTTAAACAACTTGTTTCCAGATTAATTATATCATTACAAATTAATGATAAATGAGTAAAAGAGCGAATGTTTTTTGTTTGGACTTTCAAAATGAAATTGAAAATTCAAGAGAAATAGATAAAAATATAATTCGAACGAGCGAAGAATCTGAGGCTAGACATTGGTTGAAGAATCAAAATAATTGACGACATTCCAGGATATATTTAACAAATTTTATAGTATATTCTTGTTGGGAGACTCACCCACCACTGCCAGGTTTGCAACCCGGGTTGACCAACGGGTTAATCGGGGCTGTTAGAATATATTTTGTATATATGGTTATAATATATTTTGTATATATATTGTAGGATTAGATTTAGGCTCATTATGTTCCTATATATATGTGTACATGTCTTTTGAATAATATAGAACATATATTTTTCCCACTTTCTTACATGGTATCAGACTAGGTTTATAGTCCAATATAAGGTTAGTATTTTTCGCTCGTCTCCGGCCGTCTTCTATTCTCACCTCCCAGACCATCCTCTCCGGCATCCTTTGGCGAGCCGTCGGTCAAAATTTGGGCCCGTTCGGAGGCGCGTGGGACCCACACTCGCCGGAACAGTGAGACTGTGCTGGCAGCTTCAGCCGGAGCGTGAGATTCACCCCCA